AATTACAATAACTGTATTTTTTTTCAGTCTGAAAAGATATGTATCATAGTAATTACCTTTTATTAGACCTTTACAATATAAATTTAAATACAATACAGATCGGCACTATTGCTGCTTTGGCATGAGTTGTAAGAGTGTAAGAACTAATACAGCTTTGGATGGATTAATAAAAAGTGTAAGAACTGATAGAGATTTTACCTTACACAAAGCCACTGATCCAACAAATTTGCCTTTCGTATGTTACCTGGATTATTCTTTTGTCAGCTTGTATTTCATAACGCTATGCCAGGTCGTGATATGAGAAGAAACATTTCCGATTAGGCCGAGTCAATTAGTTTGTGATTGGAAGATTATTTTTTGGCAATTTCTTTGAGTAAGATTATGAATTGAAGTTTAGATATCTTAACAACAACGAAAGAAACACACATAATTTTAAGATAGAACCAAAGTTTATTGTTACTTTTAAGTGTTTGTTTGTTTGGAATTAAGCACAAAGCTACACAATGGGCTATACTCTGCCCACCACGGATATCGAAATCCGGTTTCTAGCGTTGTAAGTCAGCAGACATGCCGCTGTGCCACTGGGGGGGCGCTTTAAAGTGTTATAATTTACTTGAATTTCAACGGAAGGGCTTCTTCATTGATTATACATAAAAACAGCCACAGAGTACTGAGTACAATGTAGCCTAACTTGAATAACTAACTATTTTTTTTTTTTTGCTGCTTAATAATGTATCTATTCTCGAAGTACATCAATAATTTTTTTCTCTGCTGTTTACGTTTGTATTTACAATAAATTTTATGATACTAGACGTCTTAATTTATGGACAAGTATTAAGTTTTTATTTTATTTTTAGGTTTTGCAATAAATACTATCAAGTATATAAAAAAATGCTTGATTGACAATACATAAAATTTGTTCGTAATTTGGAGCTCTAAGTTGGTTTATTTCCCTTGGCAACAAGTATTATTGTTTTATTATGTTATATGTAATTGCAGTAAATGTTATTACTTTTAAGGTAAAATACAAATGAGGTTTACTTTTGAGAAACTTAACAGACATGTAGAGATGATGCGTAGTTTGTTTACTTCAAACTGCTGTGTTTGCAGCGTAGATGTTTTGTATATGCTTTAACCATGAGTGAAGTTTTAAGGATTCAATTCAATATTAGACTTTAGAGCTACACCACTGTATTGTCAGTAGTGGCTACTGACATCTTCTTTCGGCTTTAGAGCTACACCACTGTATTCTCAGTAGTGGCTACTGACATCTTTTTTCGGAAAACATTCTTGCCTTTAAAATGAACATGTTGTATACATGTACAATGACAAATACTCTAAGATGGGAAATTTGAAACGTTTTGTTACTTGACATTGATAGCGTAATGGGTTCATGAAAAAGTATATTGATGCTGCCATTATATTAATAAATCGCATTTGATCACTCTGCCGATTTATTTTTTATAAAAATATAAAAAAACAACTAATGCAAATAACTTTGCGTTATAATTATTTAAGCTATCAGCGCTGGTTGTTTTTTTTTCCAATAAAGTTTAGAACAAATCCAATGATCAAAGTATAGATGTTAAGAATTGTTTTGTTTGTTTGCTATTAAGCACAAAGCTACACAGTGGGCTATCTGTGCTGTGCCAATCATGGCTATTGAAACCCAATTTTAGCATTATAACCTTTTCGACTTACCGCTCAACTGTGGGCTATTTTATGTATGGTTAATTTTTGATAGATCATATAAGCAAAAAAAAAGATCACCAGAATGCGAGTTTTCCCGTTTAAATTTCAAAACTTTCCTTGGGAAACATTCTCGGACCCCCCCCCCCTCCCCACTTGAGGAATCTGAAATTTACGCACCACTATCTTAGCTTGTGTTTGTTAAGCTTAGCTCTTTAATAATATTTTTACTTTGATATAAAGTCACTTAATCCTATTCTAGTATGTGTTTAAACTGGGAACCGTCTTACCATTTTAACATTCATAACCATAGAATTTCAATAAGTATAAGTAAACACACAATATCATATAAAGTCATTTCCAATAAATATTTTCATTTTGAGTTTACTTACTGATTATAAGTAATATTTGATTACAAGTTACGGCTTTTACAGTGAGGAAGACTATTTTTAAAACAGGTAAGATGTTTGATAATAAACAAGATTACGACACTTATTATATACAACATTGTTTATTGACAAAAAGGGGACATAGATAAACGTTTCGGAATTCTATCAGCTTCCAGCTTCAGTATCGAAAGCAAAATAAAATAAATTTACATAAGTCTTTGGACATTGTCAAAGTACAATTGCTAAATATAACGATAAATAAATAAATAAAACACAAAACAGTAATAATGGGGAGAAACTACAGCAAGAAAACACAACAACAAAAAAGGTAAAATCAGTAATACGAACATATTGAAATATGTGTAATTTAAATGAGGACTGCATGTTGTTCAGTGTTGGAGAGTGCTGTTTCACGTGGAAGGTTTCTTTGATCAATAATTCCAGGTCAGTATTAGACTTGCAGTGGATAGAGAAATTTGATAGTATAGGTTGATGTCCTGTTTCTTCACTATGTTGGCGTATAGAGGAAAAACAGGGGTTATTAAATTTTTTTGCGTTTTGATGGAAATTCCCATATGTTCATAGGCTCTGACTTTTAAATGGCGTTTGGTTTTGCCAATATAGGAGGCCTTACAATCTCTACACGTGTAAAGATAGACAAGCCAAGAACAATAAGGAATGGAGAGGAGATCTTTAGTAGAGAAAAATTTTTGTATGCGTGATGTGGATTAAAAACCAATCTGAAATCCACTTGGGGGTAGTAACGACCGAGTATGCGTTTAAGTTGATTTTTTTAAATTTAAGCTTTGTTTGCCAGTATAGGGAAGACACGAGTATGTAGTAAGTTTAGGTACAGTTGGTATCTTAATTGGATTTGTAAGTTTCTTTGTTAGGAAGGTGTTGGTGATGTTTTCTAATAAGTGTTGTGGGTAGCAGTTACCTTTCAGGATATCATGTAAGAACGAAATTTCAGA